CGTCTGCACCAAAGGCGGCATCAAAAAAAGATAATAAATACACAAACCTAATATGTATCTTAAATGCGTATTTGCATGTGATCTATCAATTTATGGATCCAACTTAACCCACACAAAATGCCAAGTATGACTCAGTTATGGCTCTTGCAATCGACAAAACCTAGATAGTTTAGAAATGGTCTAAGACAACATGATCACTTAAAGATAGATAGAAAGTAGAAATACTTGACAACATTATTGATTTAATTTAATTTTTCAGAAGAAAAACATTTTTTATACTTAAGCAAAGCATCTTCCATTTTGACAAATGAATATATACATATCTCATAGCCGATGTGAACATGCATCAAATTTGCACCTCATCTCATGAAATTATAAATATGTCAAAGGTTGGCAAAAATTCATCAGAAGATATTGTCATAAATGAATTTAACGTTAGCTACATCCAACCAACGCAAGATAAAAAAAATAATCAGAGACTTACAGACGCGCTTTACTAGATAACTTACTACATGACTTAAAAAGGGAATATCAACAAAAATATTAAAAATAGTACTAACAAATAAAGTACTCACTTTTTTCCTCAATCGACTTTTTCTTGCAGCTTCACGATTTTGAGCAAGCCGACGAAGCGTCTGCAAAAGCACAGATACATTTAATCCTCTAGCATTTATGTGAGACGTCAACTTAATTGACTAAGTGTAAAAACAACTGACTACCTTTTGATCGCTTGTCTTTTCCTTTGATCTATCACTAGAATCTGAAGCTGCAATAGTTGCAAGATGTCCTTGTTCAAACTAAGCAACAAAAGAAGTGCATGAGTTATCAAGCATACTTCAGCTCAAAATGATAAAGACAGCGCACCTTTATGTAGATGAACAAGACAATAGTACCCAAACAAAATAGAATAACAAAATGAGTTCATTTACAGAAAGCAGACTCAAAATGGGGATATAATCTTAGGTGCATTTTTCCTTAACGTTCAAAATAAATAAACTTCCAACTTCTAGATAATCAGAAACCACTAAAAAAATAAATCAATAAACAGTAGTTGTTTTCAGCACATCCCGATTATTTTCTAATGGTACAGGGATGAAAGGAAAGGAAAATCTTGCAACAATCCACAAGTGGAAGTAAACATATTACTTCGAGGAACCCCATATCACTGGCCGAAAGTTGAGCAAATGAGTGAGAGCAATCTCATAGAGATCTGCCTCGTACCATACTCATCGATTGATGAGGTCCAACAGATTTTAAGAGGCCCTATTTTAAGTCTCGTAAGTATATAAATTTGAGATATATTTATTTGATCCCACTTATTCCATCTTTCCAAGCAAAGTTGAATCTGGGAGGTCTTTTCCAGTGGTTCCCATATGAGAGGGACTGTTAACAATTATGTTTGCTCAATATAAATTATTAGTGCACAACCCAACATTTTAACCTTAGGGT